ACTATACACGATTGATTTAAGTGTAGTCAATACTGTTATTTTGATACCATAATATGCAACCACATATGGATGCCATATATAGATATATAGAGCAATTTCGTTGAGGGATTCTTCAAATAAGTTTATTTGAGATACACCTTTGTAGGACCCACTCAGCCTTGTATTTCACTAATTCAAACCGTATATTTTGTAAATATTCATTTAAAGATCATATCTATAAAAAAATTACTTGAATCCGATATCATTTGATCATTCAATAAAATGTTTGAAATTTAAGTAATTTCTTGAAGCATCATATTCATTGATTTTGTTGGTCTCAATTAGATGTCTTAATGATTTTCAATTTGTTTGATTTTTGTAAGAATGATCTATGAATGAAGACTTGAAAAATTGATTGTTTGGATCATTGGAATTTTTTTTTAGTAAGGTACCATAAAAAGTATTCATCAAATAAAATAATTTAAAATATAAGCTTCGTAAATATTTGCGGCGAGTGTGGTATTTACCGTTAAAGATATAAACGCTAAATACTTTAGTTTTCTATAAATAGCCCAAAATGCATTGAAACAATGGAGTGATGAACCAATTTATCTCATCCTCGTAGTAAACTTCCAAATCACAAATGTCAAACAATAACACATATGGAAATTGTCTTTCCACTAATGTAAATAATAATAATTTACATTCTATTGCAAATTAACCAATCGATCCTCATTTTCCTATTATGACGTGACGGCCCTATTAATAAATTTGCATGAATCATCCGTTGAAATAACAAAACCAAAAACCCTAGATCATGAAATTACAGAAAATTGGGTGACCAAAACAAAAAAGGAAATACCCAAGTAGGGGTGTATGTAGCCACCCGGCTTCTCGAGCTCGTTGCCTCATTCAATTCTTTTTGTATTTTTGCTTTTTGGGAAATCAACCATTTCCTCATTCAAATCAAACAAGTTCAAACAGCATATATATACTACACGGGGCGAGAAGAGAGACAGAGAGAGAGAGGCAGAAGGAAGAGCAAAGACAAAGGCTCTGCATTTTCTCACCTCACGTGGCCACGTGCCTTCCCCCTATTCTGGTAAGTCGCTTCTGTTTCCCTTCTCTTCCTCCCCTTCCTCCTTCTTCTTAGGCTTTGCAGAGTGTTGTACAAACGACACCGTATCGGTCGAGAATACCAAGTATTGCTGCGGTTACGCGGCGTGCTCAAAATAGCGTGAAGCTTTGATTATTTTTCTATTTGTGGAGATAGTAATTTTGTTTTGGTTTGCCCATATAGAAAATCTAGGTATTATTATTATTGTAACTTGAAATGTGGGCTTAATTTATTTAACCAAAATCATTTCGAAAACTTCGAATTCTGCCCTATGTCTGCTCTTACTTGAATAGCGAGTTTGGATTCTTATTAGCCATTTATCACGCAGAGGGACTGAATTTGAGAAAATCGTACGGATGAAGCTTTCACATGAACTTCTAAAGCCATTTTGCTTGGACTGTAGGAGAATCTGTGATCCTCAATTACTAGTTGGAGTATACCATGTCAAAGCAATTTTTTTTTTTTTTGGGGTTTAGGGTCACAGTAAATTGGAGTTTGTTACTATTGAATGAAATGCTCTGTTCATTGTTTGAGACTTTTTAGGTACTGATTTTAAGGCTTACTTGTCATTTTGATGTGCATTGGTATTGTTGTTGGGCAGGTAATGGAGGAAAGCCACAAGCAAGTGGAGGAAAGCCACGAGCAAGTGGAGGATATTGATAGTGCTTCTAATGGCAGTGATAGCGATTCTTTTATAGATGACTCAGAAGTTGATGAAGTTTCGACATCCGGACAAGACAATAAATTGCATCCAGAGGCAAGTTCTTACTCATGATAGGTTTTTTTTTTTTTTTGCTAATATGAAGCATTTTTCCTTTCTGTTTTAAATATATGATGTTCTTATCTTTGTTATGCAGGAACCTTTATCTGATAAAGAAATTGAGGAGCTTATTGCTGAGTTTTTGGAGGTTGAGAGTAAGGTATCAATGTTTTCTTTTCTTTTTGAACAGTATTTCAACTATGCACACAGATATACGTATCTAGTTTTTATGTCCATGCTGAGTAATTTATTGGTTTTTTATTTGATGCCCAATTTAGGCTGCGGAAGCTCAAGAAGCACTTGAAAAAGAGTCTCTCGTCAAAGTGGAGAGTGAAGTTAGAGAGGAGTTGGCACAAACTCTTCATGGGGATGATGTTAGTTTCTTCCTTCAAAATTCATCCCTGTGGACTAGATTGTCTTTACCAATAACTTATATATTTCCACTTGTCTATAGCTGGAAACAGCTGTTGCAGATGAAATGACTATTTTAATGGAAGAGTGGCAAACTGAGCTTGATGACCTTGAGACTGAGAGTGCTCATTTGTTGGTCTGCTCCTTTCTTCAATTCTGAGTAAATCTTTGGTTCCTAATACATTTGTAGAGCTTGCATGTACTTTGATGCTATAAATTTATACAGAAAATAAAAACCCGCGGAGAAAGAAGGATTTGCCTCTTCTTTTGACTTATACAAGAGTGATATAATTTCAGCTAGCCTTCCCTCAATTTTGATTTCTACGTCGATTCACTTTGAAGAAAGTATCATTTCCTGTTTTCCATTTTTTCTGGATTTCATATTGCTCTCTGCATGTCTTGACTCTTGTCTCATTGTTTTTCTATGATTATAACTTATAGGGTATAGTGGGTAGAGGGTGACAGCATGTACCATTTTAAAAGCATTGTTTATATTTTGGGTTTTCTAAAGAAAATTTAGAGGTTCTAACTTCATGGGATGTTAACTAAAATTGTTTATGAAGTTTTTGCAAATGTCTATTTACTGACAAGAATTTGTATATCCCTTACCAATAATTGCGATAAACCTTTTAATTTGAAATAGATTGATGCTTGCTTAATTTATGAAATATGAAACCTGAAATTACGTCTACCTATTTTAAATTCCATGAAAGGAACAACTTGATGGGGCTGGCATTGAGCTACCAAGCCTTTATAAGTGCATTGAAAGTCAGGCTCCTAATGGTTGCTGCACTGAAGCTTGGAAAAGACGGATACACTGGGTAGGATCTCAAGTGACTGGAGAATTTACTGAGTCAAGGACCGATGCAGAGAAGTATCTCCAAGCCCACAGACCTGTAAGAAGGTACAGTTCTACATTTTTAGCTTTGTTGATTCTGCAAGGTATTGATGGTACATAAACTTGCACTTGTGAACTTAGGCGACATGGTAAACTATTGGAAGATGGCGCTAGTGGATTTCTGCAGAAAAAGCTAACCATAGATGGAAACAAGGATGCTGTGACTGCTGAGGTTGATTGGTGTTCTCTCAACAAACTATTTTCTGATGGTGCAACTGGGGATGGTGCTTCATTTGGCAGTAAGCACTGGGCTTCTGTTTACTTGGCCAGTACGCCACAACAAGCTGCTGAGATGGGACTCAAATTCCCTGGTGTGAATGAGGTGCCTAACTTTTTCATTAACATAATTATGGAATTTCTGCTTGCTACCCAAAGCTAATCTGGAAAATAAGTTATAAGAAAAGGAAAAGAGCAAAAAAGAAGGAATCATATTAGGTAAAGGAGGCTCTATTTCATGTAGTTTTATCATTACACTCAACATGACAGCCATTGTTTGTAGGTGCTGTGCTTGTTCTGCTTTCCTTTTCCCCTCTTTTTGAATGATCATTCATGGAGGTTTCCTTTTGTAATTTAGATCTGTAGCTTCTTATATGTTGGGGTGATTGTTTGGTTTTGGGCATCCTTATGGAGCATCTTTGGAGGTTAAGGGTAGTTACTTTTTCTGCCATTTTTTTTTCCAATTAGAAGCTACTCACTGCAACACGTGCTCTATTTTGGCTTAGTGAGTTCTTTCATTGAGTTTTTGAGAATATTTTTGCCAGGTGGAGGAGATTGATGATATTGATGGCAATTCTAGTGATCCATTTGTTGCAGCTGCCATTGCAAATGAAAGAGAACTGGATCTGTCTGAAGAACAAAATAAAAATTATAGGAAGGTATGTTTGTGCCATCCAATAGTTGATGTTCTTGCTGTTAACATCATCCTTGTTGTTACTTGTTATTCAAAGATCAATTTCTACACACAAACACACATATACACGTACTAAACAATTTGGCTACGTGTATATTTGGTTTCCTACACCAAGAATTAATCATGAATCTTGGTGGATATATTCTCCACTTTGGTGATGTGATAAAATTTTGTTTCTTATAAAAAAAAAGATATAACATGGGATGGGTGTAAACATGGAAAATCATGTTAGTTGGGAAATTCTGAGGACTTTTTCACTGCTGTCTGGGGATGTGCATGGGTATAGAAACCCCTTAATAAACCCCGGTGTTGGTTTTTCAGTGTCCCCATAATTTTGCAATATTTCCACGAGGATTGTGCGGTCTTACCTTTTTGACCCACATTTTAGTTAACTGGTATTTGATTGAATGTACTCTGTCTTATCATCTCTTTTAATCTTTGATGGCGGTCTCTTTGTCACTTACCAACTTGGTTAGAGTAGGCATATGTGGATACGTTTGATTTACCTTTTTCATCAGTAGGTAGATAACTCCTGCTGCTTTTAGACTTATAACATTGACA